TAAAAAGGAATGGTGCGGCCTTTTTTTTTGTTTTGATTCCTTCATGGAGGCCTGCCACTAACTGTTAACTTGTGTATTATTGTGCTATCAGACAGGAGGAACGGCAGTGAGAATTTACCAGCACAGTCACAAACCTTTCATCACACAGTTATCACGGTGATAAAGTTCAGCGGTAGTTACTCACCTCTCCAAAACCAAATATTACCCACTCAGGCAAGAGAGAGAATGGATTTCTATAAGATTGTGCTATATTAGCACCTATATTGCACCTAACTCCTGGCTACTGCTAAACCCAAGTGCCCAGTGCACTTTGAAGTATTGGTTATCAGAGCAGTCCTGTGAGCACGGAGGGACTGTGATCTACCGTTGTTTCATAGATGGGAGACAGGGGTGCAAGGCTGTGGTTAGATTGAGCAGTGGATACACCTTGCCATGAGCTTGGGCCCCTGGACCTCTGGGTCATTCAATTTGACTCAGCTGGAGCAGACTCCCTGCTACCAACATGACCATGCTTCCTCCCACAGCAAGCCCAAGGAGAGCGGTAAGAGACCTGTGGAGACAGATCTCTTCCCTATGGGGCTGGGACATGGTTTCCTGCTCAGGGCACTTCATTTAGTCATGGCTAGAAAAATTAAAGCTCCGATTCATAAACACTGGCAGTCACCTAATTTCTGTGTGTTTTTATGCAAGTTTTAATTGCTTCCCTGTCTTTGAAACCTGGACTTTGTATTATAGCTTAACCAACTAATTTGCTTAGGTGTTTTGGAGGGGCACACCACAACTACTCAAGTATATGGCGTGCTCAATAGGTAGATGATTATGTGTCTTATTTGTCTTCTTTATCCCCCAGGAAGATGAAGTTGCTCGTGACAGTCGATTCAATTTCAGTGGCTATGGCATGGGTCACTGCCTCCAAGTCAAAGATGGCACAGCAGTCAAGGCTACTCCACCCAACCCACCTCCGGCACCACCAAAGGATTCAGATTCCATCAAAAAGAAGTTTGTTGACCGTGCAAAAAGGATTGATACAATATCCCGTGCTGCATTCCCACTCGCCTTCCTAATTTTCAACATCTTTTACTGGATTACATACAAAATTATACGGCATGAGGACATTCACAAGAAATAGGCAACTCTGATTGACCAGGACTTCTTAGCCAAAGTGATCCACATGTAAATAAACCATGAAATGTCTTTCCGTCATTTGGACTAAGGATGTCTTTCCCCCCGAGGACACTGAAGAAAACATTAACAAACAGGAAAAGAAGTGTAGAAGGAAAAGTTATTGCATGAAAAAATATGCCATGAGACCAGTCAATGAGGATTCATTCCCCCTATGTACTCTCAGTGTTCTTCCAGATTCAGTATTGATCAAACATCTATAAATGGGGCCAAATTTTACCCAGCTTTGTCACCAAGATATCATATTTCAAAACAAAAGAGAATCAGAAAACAAACAATTCTCCTAAAACATCTACCAAGAGACCGTGGTGGCTACAGTACAGTGAGTTATAAGAGGACCAAACTTTTTCAGGATAATGTTGCCTTTCTATTTGAAACAAGTCTACTGAGCTACATTCCATGACCATGTCTGTAGTTAGTGGTTTCACCAAGGAGTCCTTTTGTGGGTTGTAAATTATTTCTACTGATAGGGGAGAGGAAAAAAAAAAATTGAAAAAAAAAAATTTATACTTTATTATCCTTGTGGGTGTGCATTTTAATATTAACTTGCTTTACTAGAATTGTAATTTTGGGGTTGAACTTGTGTGTTGTGTGGTTTATTTGATAGTTGACACTCTAAAACCAGTGAAACTGCCCGGTTCATTTTTGTTGGAAGACAGTGCACTTACTTCATTTTATTTCTGCTAATTTTACATGCAACTTGAGGTGCCAAACTGTATTTTACCTATTGTGCTACCCTGTACCACACTACTTAGTAAGAACTTGTTTCCTCAAAGGTGTAGCTCAGTTTAGCATTGAGTTTCTATTACTGCTCTCATTGTAGCTGCAATCAATAGCTCTATAGGTAAACACAACTTGTTTACAGACCTCTAATTTATATCTTTACTCAAAGTGGCTATCATTTTAAATATCATTAAATAACCTAAGAATTTTAAAACTGTACTGTGATTTTCAGAACCTGTTACCTTTTGGTGCCGGATCTGCGTTATTCAAATTCTTGCTACATGTTTTAAAGTAGAAAATTAAAATTAAAAAAAAAGATGGTATTTTTGCTTACACAGAAGAAGACAACCTGTAACATAAGATGAGTCAAACATTAAAATTTTACACTTGCTGTAAAAGGGTTTATTAAAAAAAAAGGTATTTGTTCAATTTCAATAAAGCTAAATGTGGTACTAACATTTCTTCACTCTTTTCTTCACTTGCATCATCAGGGCTGCTCGCCCCAGGGCCCAGCTCTCCCACCGCTCTGTCGGTAGGAAGAGGGTGAAACGCAACCTTCTGCTGGCCTGCCTTATCTTGCCAAATTTTGCTATTTATCCTGCTGCAAAGGGGCTGTTGCAACCCCTGGGAGTATGTCCAGGTCTGTCACAAATGTGGCTAGGATAAGACAGGAACATTCCCAAAACATTGGCATTTGCAGAGCCAGGCCTGGGGCAGGAGGCACATCGCTCCCCGCATCCTTGCATGGCAAGAAGCACACCCCAGCTTCACACGCGCTGTGCCCGGCTTCGAGGTATCCTAAACTTTATCCTGACTTTCATAGAGCCTCACCACTTTGGAGAGCTGAAGAACATACGGAGATGGCCCATGTCAGGCACCTCATGTAGACATCTTAACCACCAATAGTTTAAAGGCAGATTAAATGGCATCCAGTTCACTGCCCTTCCCTTGAAAGGCCAAAATACACACTCCGCAGCTACCCAGCGTAGACGTTTTTCCCCCTCTCCTCTAATGAGATGTAGTACAGAGACATACTGTACCTGCAGCATTTCTCACTCCGCTCCTGCACCAGCTTCTGCTGGGAGGTTGTGGATGCAGATACCACGGCCTGGCCACATCTGTGTTTGGGTGTCTGTGTCCCTGTCCCTCTCCACACAGCTGCCTGTAGCTACCAGGCTTTGTTCCTCTCCCAGGACCAGCGAGGGAATCTAGAGATCTTGACAAGTCCAATTCCCAAGTAGTTACATAAATTAAAGGTAAAAAGGCATTTGTGCGTTGTCCCCACACCCTCCTGAGCTCTCCGGACTCTCCTGTCACTCACACCTGTGATGGAATTGGCAACAGTCATCTCCATCTCTTTGAGACCATGGATCCAGATGTGATTGACAGTGTTGGAAGGGGGGACCCAGTGACAACCAAGACACCTGTCCAAAATATTTTACTTTGCAAAATAAGCTTTTGACTCAAATTTAGGTATCATAGTATTTGTAATTTTTAAACTATAAGATGTGCCTTTATTCCTTTTTAAAGTGAAACAGTATTTGACTAATGGATAATGTAGTAGAGGAAAACCCCAGGACAATCCTAGTCCCATGAGCTCTGGCACAGTGAGGATAACCACCTGTAACCTGCGTTTGTATGAGAAGTTAGGAGCCTTCATTGGTACGTAAACATTCAGAGCTCACTTTTACCAGCCCCTCATTCCAGAAACTCTGCTTTAAATGAAGGTGTAATGCCAGGATTAATGTTAATCCTCAGCGTCCAGACGCATTGCTAATGAACGTCAGAGCCTATTGCTCACAGTTCCCACAAATGACTGCAGACCACCACAATAGGAATGCAAAACTCGGTTGGTGGATATTTGTACATCCCTTTTTGCAGTGAAGCTCATGTGCCTCCAGCAGCCACATCACAAATTCACCTGCATGCTTTGCAGTGCTTGGCTAACAGCATTGAATAAATAGTTTGCTAAAATATTTTGCCGATTGGATTTGAGGTATGCTGACAGTGTCCATGGGAAGACTGTTCTGCTGTTGCCTTGCATATAAACTTAGGTGCAGTCATGGGAGCAATCTGTGCACAGAATCCTTACAGATCTCTCTCTTTCTGAAGACAGACAGGATTTATAGCGACACGGCAATTAGTTGTGAATCTTGGAATTATCAGACTAAGTTTTGGACATAAATGATGCAAGCAAATGGACAAGGCCCACCAAGCATGGCAATTAGGAATACAGGTGATCCAGAAGAGTTCTCAGCACCTGGCCAGTGGCCTGTGAACCATCTCACACAGAGATGGTTTGATACCAGATGGGTATCAAAGAATCTCTCTTCAAAGAGCAAGGCTGGCACCAGAAAGATGTATACTGGCTGAGAAACTGCCTGCAGATAAACAGTCAAATAACAAGGGTAGCAGCACTTACAGAAGGGCACAGCTTTCCTAAACAAATGCTCAGTAGGGTTACCAGAGAAACAAGACTCGAAAACCGGTCACTTTGCACTCAGAGAAGTAGCAGAATTAAACAGTGAAGCAGTTTCATTTCAAGACACCATTGCAAGAGGAAAAAGAATGGCTTAGAAAATAAGTCCCAGACAAATAGCCTTCATGAAGCTAGAGACACAGTAAGATGGAAGGAAAGACATCCAGGATTAATTCTGAAGAGCTTCCAGACTTACTGGAAAACCTGCAGGTTACAATTCCGGCTGGTAAGATAAAATGAAGTCCTAGAGAATTTAAACTACTTGCATTTAGCTATAAAATCATTATGACTTCTAATTCTTCAAGAAAGCTTAAAAAGCTTTAAGCACGACATTTAAGGATGCAGCATCAGGTCAAGTCGTTGGCATCCTGTTACAGGCAGGACCTGAGTGGTTCAGTACTCAAGGAGAAACAGTTAGCCATCTCTCACCAGATAGATGCTGTCATGCGCGATGTTAAAGCCTAATCGATAAAACAGATCTTTAAAAAAAACCTCGTTGCAATAGGAGGAAAGTGAAAAAATGTGTGATGTGAGATGAGAGATCTCTTGTTTTCCCTCTTTCCCGTTTCTTTTTCTCCATATTTTTTCAGGCAGCAGAGCCATCACTTGTGATGTACTGAATCACAGGTGATAGGCGGGGTAGCAATAGAGGCTTTTGGAGTCTCCAATGTGAGATACCAGCAATTCATCACCACTGGGGTTGACTCCAGGATATGTGATTCCTTTGGGGTCAGATTTTTTCTTGTGCTACGGAGGTGAGGAGTAAGGGTCAACTCCATTCATCCACAGATGTTGGGACTTTCTCAATTTGCTTCCCTTCTTCCCCAGCATGAGACATTGAAGGCAATAGGAAAGAGCTGATGGAAAAATAATGTTCGTCTGCTGCAGGCTGAACTGCTACAGCTCTTCATCTTTGCGCAAACCTGTCATTGATATTGGTGGCACAGGAGACGCTGACCAAACGTGAGGCACCAGCCAAAACCTACAACCTTACGTAGTTGATGTTATTGAACACAAATCTTTGAGATTACAGGCATGGGCATTTCCCAGGAAGGGCTCTCACTGGGCTGAATTGTTGTCTTTGGCTCAGCAACAGGGTTCTGCATCACCTGAAATTCACATTTCACGAACTTATTCAAAAGATCTGACTCAGTGCAATATTGACATTTCTACATTTAGAAATATATTTCTAAATACAGAAACAAATGTATTTGATGTGTGGGCATAAAAAGTATATGCACAGTTTTCTAATCCTTATTCCTTTAAAATCAGAACACGACAAGGAACAAAGAAAGAAAAGCTGTAGGATGAGCTTTTCATTACACAAAGTAGTGTGAAAATAATTTTAATTAATCTATTCATTTTTACTATCTATAATATAGTATCTGTGGAAAATAAGTTTCTGCTAGACTTTCGAGGTAATTTATTCTAATGCTTTTTGACACAGAAGTTTGTGTCTTGCAATGTTTTGGAAAAGCAGAAAACCAAAACCAAGGCTGCCTAGAGGAACTCTTGCCTGGGAGAATAATCTGAGCAAAGTCACGCTTTCTCCATAAACGCCCCTTACAGATTTTACTTTAAAAATTAATCTTCTTTGGTTTGACAGGAAGAGAAAAAGAAGGTATTTATGCCATTTGAAGATACTTTTCCTACTTTTGCAGGGAAAATGTGAAATGTCATCACATTTAGGGCTAAGCTGCAGAACAAGGGCAGTTTCACCAGTTCCAGACAAACTCATCTAGCCA